CTTTGACTTTTACTTGAGTACATTTTTGCCTGTGTATTTGTACTTTTACTTAAGTACATTTATTGAGTACTTTCTCCACCACTGCAATGATCACCCACGAAAGATTACGTCCAGTTTGTTGTTACCTATAGTTTCTATATAAGCAGCAACTTCCCTAAGAAATCTCACATTTTCTTAAGCTTTAAAATAGCAAATATCTGATAACTTGTTCAGTCTGTGAAACAGAAACAAGTCAGAGAAGATCGTACCGATGCAGGATTGTTGTTGGTCTCTGAAGGCCTGTCTGTATCCAGCTGATCGCCGCCTGTATTCCCACTACTCTCCACCAACACCTTCACACCATCCTCCAAGTCCAAAAGGATTTCTGTGGCTGCATCTAAATGAAGGGAAAATAAGAGACTGTTGTCATGTGTTCAAATGTTTCAACATCTGTTGTTTAATGTGCCTCACTACTGTTTTGTATTTTGTCTGTTTGGTGTAAAATTTACAGCTAATCCATCAGGACTTAGTAGGAAACTTTTATTAATATCCAATGATTGGACCTGCTGTTTTGTGCTTTGTATGCAGCCTTAGACTACGCTAACTCAGCAGGTGTTGATGCTCAATTCGACATGACTGTTCAGAATGCAGATAATTTGAAAACTACATAATTACGTAGTAACTGATTGAATAGGCCTGTTTAGACTGCCATGAAAAAGTTGGATTGCATTTGGGCAACCAAGAAAAAAAAAGAAAAAAATGGATTTGGGTTGCATTTGCCTGTTGTGTGAACGTCATCGAAGAGGCCTCCACGTGGTCAAATAACTTTTAGCTGAATTATTAAGAAAATAAATCCACTCCATACATGTTGATATGAAACAATCTTCATCACTGCAAACAGAGCGCATGAATAATGTTGCACTTAATTAAGAAATGCTATTATTAGAACTAAAATAACAAAAATACTTGTTTGCATAAAAGCCGTAACATTGGCATCAATGGATTCTTCGAAATCACCAGGAAAAAAATTTATGCTACTTGGTTTTGTACCTTAATCAATGTGCAACACTGTGCCTATATTGTGTATGGTGTAAAATTTATTTCCAGATGCTCTAACATTTAAAATAAGAGAGTGACAGAAGATTCGACTTCACTGAGATTATGTCCCAGTTCTCTTTCTCACCTGTTCCTTTCAGACTCCCCAGACTGTTGGACCTTTCTGAGTGGGAACTGCTGCTGCCCTCTCCCGCAGAACCAGACTTGACTCTCACACCTTTACAAAGAACAAAACACCTCACATAAAAAGCATCCGGACCTACAGCCGTCATCAACCTCAAGGTGCATTTAGGGGAAAAGAGAGAAGAAACTTGCCCCACCTTCCTTCGCCACCTGCCAGAGCTCAAAGGCTACTGTGAAGGCCTGGGCGACTGTCAGGGCTACTGCCTGCGCCTGGAATAAAGAGAGGAGCAGAGCTAATGACACTCTGTGACAGGAAACACTAACAGAATATGACAGCACATATTTTATGTAGTGAAATCAACAGATTGGTGAACCTTGATTTACCTAACTGAAGAGGGGAAAAGGACCAGAAGTACACATTGAACCAAATATAAGAAAAAAAAAAGTGTTAAGATTGAATTCACGCTGAAGTTTGTGTATCAACACGCCCAAATCCTTACATTCAAAAGAAACATGCCGGTAAAATTAAAAGATTACTTTATTCTTAAATCTGCTAGGATTATAATTAAGTTTCAAGTAACTTGTATTCATTTATTATATGCAATCAAACAGTTGCTTGAATCACAAGTTTAATCAGCACTTGGGAGGGCAGTAGAACTACTCATGTAAAGCAGGAGGGAGGTTTTCCTAGAAATTAGTTACTCTTCGGTCAGCAATGTATGTTTGTCCACTGGTCTTGTTGTTTGGACAGAAGGAGAAGCTGGAAATGATCCATCATGTCATCCAAGGGACAAACATTAACAGAAGAAAGCAGTGATGAAGTCATTTTCTGGAATTCAGTTCTCATCTTCTTTCTTGTAAATATGTTGTGACTGGTTGATACCGTCTTCTTCACGGAGTTACAGATCACATGAATTTGTTAGGTGGTTTGTGGTAAATGTGAAGTTGATTGTAGGATGTCAGATGTTTTCATTCGCCACAGTATGCGGATGTTAATAAAATTGGGTTATCTAGGCATTAGGTGTTCCTCGGGGTGCATATCTCGCACCCCTTTTTTCTTTCTTCACACATTAACCAAATCTTGAAGAAGGCCAAGATGTTAATAAAATTGGGTTACCTACGTAACGACACCCATGAGCTTTGGTGTTGAGGTAATCCTCAGGGTATAAATCTGGTACGCCCTTTTTTTCTTTTTATGCACTTTAATCAAATGTTTAAAAAAGCTAAGATATTTGAACATCCAGCTGACTACAATAAAAAAAAAACACTAAAGAAAAAAATATGCCAATAAATAAAGACCAATGAAGCGAGAGTTAACTTCTTTACAAAATGTTTTAGCTTTTAATTAGAATAGTCACCTTCCTAGAATGATGGCCCAAGTTATTTTTGCTAAAAGTGATTTTGTTCTTTTTGTTTTGTTTTTTTGTTTTTACCTAAAACATCTTTTGGCAAAGAAGAGATGGTATTTTAGTTTGTTTTCTTCTTGTATCTTTTTTTTTTTTTTTTTTTTGCAAAATTCATTGTAGAATTTATTACAGGAATCTTAATAAAGTAAAATGAAAACAGAAACACAGAACCTACCACTTTTCTCTTGGAGCAGAGGTAAGCGTGGCACTCCAGGGCCCCATTGAGGGTGTTCTGAGCGATGTAAGCAAACACTTTGTCATGCAGCTTGTCCACCGTACAGTAGGATATCCTGCAGGCCAAGAGAAATGGATGGTTTAGGTATAACAGACTTTCTGAACCTGCGCTCCATCGCTGCTTCGTTATCACACCTATATATAGAGACGCTTTCCAGGAGTTTATTGGTAGACCTGTCCAGCACCACGATCCCTTGAGGGGAAACCTTCAGGGCAACCTTCTGGGGCTTCTTCCCACTGGCTTTAGTCTGTGCAGCACAAACATAAATTTTAGATTTCAATAGCATTTAGAATTTTATACACAGATCAAGAAGCAAATGATGTTTCTACATCGTCTCATGACCATCATGCATCTATTTGTAGTCAACTTTGATTGTCCAGAAGAAAATGAAGATAAGAAAAGCTTAGCCATCTTCAGTATTTTGGAAACAAACATTAAGCGTCTATCCATATGAGGCCAACCGATTCACTGATAAATCCTGGACCTACTCTGAACTATGTCCGCAATGACTTTAATGCATTTTATTCTTCCAAATTGTTTTTTTTTTTTAAGAAAATATATATTTTAATCTAATATCAGGACAAATGAACTCACTAAACTGCCCTTAGGTCTGACTGTGTTTATGCATTGCGTTTTATGTGACAGGGCCAGAAACCTGTTGATTAGGTAAAGGGATGTGGAATTCAAATGCACACCACACTTTTCAGACTTTTAGATGCAAGAAGAAAATTTTAAATTATTTTCCTTTGACTTCACAATTACCCACTACTTTGGACTTCTAACATAACAGTTCAATAAAGTACATTAGCATTCATAGATATCACGTTGCAGAGTATAAATATTATTACACCAACAATTTCTATGAGACAAACGCATAAGCAACAATGAGTAAGAAGAGATTTTAAATCCCCTAAAAAGAAAAGCTGGAGCTCTTTTACACCGACCGTAGCAACGATCCTCTTCACAGCGGCCGCCGACAGCTCCTCTCCCTTGGGTTGATCCACAAGTGTCATGCCTAGGTGCCGGAGGTTGAAGGTCATCCCCTCTAAAATGGTCTCCCGTGTATCTGTCCAGTTCTCTGGAAGCTCTGCAACGAAAAAGGGTTGCTGTGTTGAATTTTTTTTTTTTTTAATCTAAAAGTAGTTTTTAGAATGATCTCATTTTATGTTACTGTATAAAAATAAAGTTTTTTCTTTAAGGAGCTGCATGTTGGAGGAAATGTAAACATCAAGTCGAAAACAGAGTATCTGGGTCAAAGGTTCTGTGGATGCAAAGTAAATATTTCAACTCCAAAAAAAAAAAAAAAAACCAAAAAAAAACCCGATAACTTACATTTACAGAGGTGACCTGGACTTTGACACGTTGTGATAAGAAGAAATTGTCTCTTTTTCCCTGAGAGTATGATGTTTTGTTTTTTTAAGATTTTTTTGGCACTATAGGCCTTTATTATTTGACAACAATACGACACAAATGGGGCAAAGTAACCGAAGACAGGAGTTGAACTCGGTACATCTGCTCTAACCACTGGAGCACACGACGCCCCAACATGACCGGTGGGGGTTAAAAAAATAAATAAATAAATAAAATGGTGTGTTTGGTAGTTATGAAATTAAAACTGGATGAGCTGAAAGGACAGCGTGTGCCTTCATGTGGTTTCTTATCAGGCTGTGCACGGTGCCTGGCGGCCCTGACCCCATGTGTCTGTTTACAGAGATTTCCTTGCAGTCGGCGAAGTGGGGGGAAGGGTGGGAGGTGTTAGTGAAGATGAGATCCTTACCTCAAAATTCATCCTCCCAGAGGTTTTCTTTATCTCCTGCGGGATGCAGGGCATACCACACATTCGTGCAGTCGCATGTTTTAACTCAAGATTTATAGCAAGAGTCAGTAACCAGATATGTTCCACTAAACCCTGCTTAAAGTGACAAGCTGACCGATCAATGCCCCGAGTCACAGAGTCAACCTGCTTTCAGACGGACCTTAATACTTGTTTTTTTTTTAACCTTATCTCTCATTTTTCTGTCTTCCAAGGGAGAAGCAATACCTTGTGAGTAATTACAGATGTTATTTTCCCTCCCTCACAGGAGCCACTGTCTGGTTTCCAAGAACCCGTTTTACAGTTTTTCGGGAAACCTCTACAGCACACCAACAGATCAGGTACCAGGCTCCGCTCAGCCTGAGAATGTGGACGAATCTGGGTTCAAAGGTCAGCTGCGAGAACCACACGTGAGGGGAGACAGCTGTGTTCATGTGCTGAACCCTTACCGTTAATAAAGGACAAGGAATCCCCACTATATAAAACTTTAATATACTGTGTTGAAATAGTAACGTTTATTCTTTTAAAATATGTTGTTCAAGCCAAATCCATGATGATAACTCCACTAGATTTAACAGCTTTTCCGAGCTCAGATTTAGTCTTTCTTAATATTTCACCTTCCAGTATGTCTTGTAACATTGTAGAGAATCTGTTACATCAAGTTGCCACAACCTGAACTCTTTTTTATTTTTATTTTTAATATGAGAACCAAAGAGAACTTTCTGATTGGCTCTGCTACCTTGTGAAAGAAGATAGTGTGTTAAATTGTAATTGTTACGTTTTTAGGGAAGGAACCTAAAGATTTGATACTAGAACCTTAAACATGTATGAACAATTTTAGATGGACTAGTTTAAAGACAAACTTCTTTTTCAGTTTGATGGTCGAAGAGCGTCTGAGTGAGACCGATTACTTTTTGGGGTATCAGATAAATGATCAACTCTCTTAAAACATCTTAGTTTAACCTTTCAAACTGCTCTTGATCAAGTTTCTCAGTATCTTGGAAGTCTTTCAAACTTTCTTTAAGTCTAGATACTTTGTTATTTATGTTCTGTTTGGTACTTCATTTTTGGAAGAATGTTTTTTTTTTAATTGCCTCTTTACCCTGTCGTTTGAATCATTCAGGCATAAAGAGGCTCCAAAACTCAAGGGACAAACCAGTGTTGTGTCTTCACACAGTAACTTAACCAAGTTTGACCAATGAAAAAAATATTTTAAGGACCAACAAGCTATTTCCAAATCAGTTAATGGATGAGTAATCTTTTGGGTTTCGTGTTAGGTTTCTGCTGGTTTTGTCTGTTCCTTTAAGACATGAATGTCACAAATGGTTCACCTATCTTTTCAGGCCAGACACTTTTTTTTTTTTAGTTCTCCACCTTCTTTAGCATGACAAATGCAGCCATGACTGGGTGCAAAAAAATGTTAGAAAAGCAGGCAAAGGTCCACAGAATAACACCAAAAGACCTCCAGAAAGCATAGAGAACAAATGAGGAATATCTGGAGTGCACTCCACGTATTCCACAGCAAAAAATGTGAAACAGTGGTTTAAAACTTTTCCACAGTGTGCATCCTTGATAATAAAAGGTGAAAGTCTGAAACAAGAGTGGATAATATGTTCCCCCATGAGGAAACACTCCAATGTCGGATCAATGGCAGGTGAGGGACACCGACAGAAACCTTTCTGCCTCCAACATTAGAATCCTGACTTGTTGCTGAGACAAAAGTCTCTTTTTTTTAATTTCCTCACAAAGTTATCACTTTACATCTAAATGTATGACGAATTCAAGCCAAGCTGTTCGTGTCCAACAATTTGATCAGATGTTAAGAAGTGGAATCTGGAGTGAACAGAAAGGTACTCAGAACAACATGCAGTGTTCAGCTGGATGGAGGGTCTCTGTTCAACACTATGACAACAATGTTGCTGATCCAATAAGTTCCGATCGACGGGGCACACACTTTCCGGCTCCTGTGTGTGTCTACGCTAAACACTGCATCACCAAGGAGACCACCAATGGGGGTCCTACAACTTCGGACCTCTCCTGGTCTTTGTTTTTGGGAAGGCATTGAAGGGGGTTGGTGGAAAGCCAGTCGCCTGCTGCCATCTCACTTCTCTCTAAACTGTAGCCACTTTCACAAAACACTTTAAATCTGATATTTGATATCTTCTGAACAACTCTGTGTGATTTCTGACAAAAACCTAAACGAGCGGTTGAACGTAACCCAGCCGTCTTCCATCTCAGGGTGATCACATGTGTTACTAATCACACTGGTTGTCTTAATAAAGGTTTATCTTGCTTTCCAGCCCTTTAAAACCAAATGGTTCCTCCAGTGCTTACTGTTTGTGGTGGCAGATATTACATAGCATTAGTTCTTTGCATTTCCACTGAGGTTTTTATGAAGCCCCTGTATTTGCACCATCATCTCCAGAGGTTCCACAGTCATCCTCAGAACAGAACCAGCCTTCATTATCAGATTGTTGAGCCTTTTTGGGTGCCTTGACTCAAAGAAGTACAGCATGCCCTGTCCTTCGTTGTAGATGTCTTCACTGTGGATTACAGAGATATTATTTGTGGTATGTAATGACCCAGGTGGATCATGAAAACAGATGATCTGAAAGGGACTTTGGAAAGATCTGACACATGCATCGAAAACAACAACAAAAAAGACAATGCTACCAGGTCTCTTTTGCACTCAGAGCGCAGAAACCCAGCTATGACATTTGTAAATCCGATTACTGGAAGAAAGCCTCCAAGTTATTTGGAGAACTTATCTAACATCCTCTACAATCTATGTGGCATGTGTGACCTTCCAATCTGTCTGCTTTCCATAGATATTCAAGTCAACATTCCAGGTCATTCCTGAACGGAGTGAGGGCCGCAGCCAACTGTGACCAGTGAGAGAGTTGGGATAACTCGTTCAGTTTGGCAGGTCTCTCCGCAAAGCAGAAGGTGCAGGACAAGCTGCCACTGAAATCTTTCTCTGGAAAACTAGAAGGCTGATCCAGACAAGTCACAGTAAGACCTGGACATTCGGCTGGATGATATGGATCAGCGCAGGTGAGGAATGCCTGCCCTGCAGTCAGGGGAACACCTGTTAGACTACACTACAATACTCCATTTTTCCTACAAGTAGGTCAGCGCCTGCATTTCCATGAACCTGCTAATTCCGTGGGTAATCAGTGCCTGAAGGGGTAAGAAGTTCATTTACAGCAAAAAGGCAAACAAACGAGCTCATTCAGAGAAATCAGACTCCTTTTCAAATGGTCACAGTTAAATTATAACTTAATGGAGCGCTTCATCTAACAGCTGATGTGCTGCTGGGTAAGGATATGTTTACTTTGAACAACAAAAAAAAGGCATTTAAGAAACTGTCACTTGACCTAATACTACATAGTCATACCATCTGCTCTAATTATCATTTGTAGAGATTTGCTTTCCTGGTTTTTAAACCAGCTCAGCCTGAAATTGAGCCATTGTTTTTACAAAGACAGACATCAAGAGCAACAAAATTTGACTTTGACAAAAAAAAAAAAAAAACTTTTAATATCAAACTGACAACTGTCATGAGAATTAAACATAAAATAAGTGATTACATAAATATTCACCCCTTTTAAGTCAGTTTTAGTCTATTATTGTTAGCAGATGCACCTTTGTGGATAGGTTGCAAACTAATAATGACAATATATAGTTGTCATTATTTTGTAGAAATCAGTTTTCCGTTTAACATTTGTTGTTTTTGTCAAAAAAAAAAAGCCTCATTTTGTTGGTCATGATTGATTTGGAATAAAAAGCGTAAAACATCCAAAGGGGTGATAAATACTGTTTATAGGCACTGTAAATGGAGCTGCGACCCTGACCTCTGACCTCCTGCTGGTACCAAGGTGGAAAGAATAAGGTCGTTTGAAGGAATGAGATTATCAACAATTCCCCAAATGCCACCGCTGTGAGGAAATCAACAAGGCAATAAAGAGTCATTGTATCCTGGCCACATCATAAAAGCCTTGAGAAACTTTTGGTGTGAAAATCCTAAAATCCCGTCGCTGAAAAAAAAAACAAAAAAACAAAAACAAAAAACGATTCTAAACTAATGTGTTTTGCATGCCAAATACGAACTAAAATTTTTTTTTAATTGACAGGTGAACACAAAACTGAAATTAAGGGAAAGTGATGGAAGGTTTCTGTCTGTGCTGAAAAACAGTATTTCCAAAACAAGATGCTGTCACTGCCATTTATTACCATGGTGATGTGAAAAGTTATTTTGCATGTTGGCAAAAAAAAAAAAAAAAGTTCTATTTTGGTTTTAAAACGAGGCAAAACGTCTTTGCTGGGTTTCTCACGAAGCCCTTATAAAACAGCTGGTTTATACTGGGATTAAATCACACACAGGTTGACTCTATTAGCTAGTTAGGCAACTTATGACTACCACAGAAAAAAGATTTATTCGATTATTTTTTGGATTCAAACCGTGTATCCTTTCCCTTCCACTTCCGATTGGTTTATCACAAAAACAAAAAACAACAAAAAAATACCTTCGCAGCAAAGTTGCTTAAAATAGAAATGGCATATTTATCTTGAACTTCATAATAGTCTACTCAAATGATGTTACTTAAAAAATACGCATTACTTTTTCATTGACAGACGTCAAGTTACAAGAACGGTATAAATACTAAACTGACTGTTTTTGACCTCAGCAAGTTAACGTTGAAGTTGCCATGGTAAATACTGAACTATTTTAGCATTCCGTCTCCGTTTCTGTCTTCAGCTACTTTTACGACTGTCTGTCTTACTTCTGTGTCTGCCGGAGGTCCACGACTGCTTCGCCTTGCTCGGGCTCCGGATAATGGCTCTCCCAGCCGACCTGAGTGCATCCATGTCGGTGCTCTGAGGTGCAGAGACTCGGTGAAGTTTTTGCCGCGAGGATTCCAGGGGAAATGTTGTTACCCTGACTGGAGATGAGGGGCGGGGGGAGTGGGAGAGATGGACCGGTGGTGCTTTCGAGTGCAATCGGAGACAACGCTCGTCTTACTCTCGGGATAGTTCAAGAAATTAAAAAGTCTGAATTAAAATGATATAGTTTCAAATAACTGTCGACATATTTCATGGTTCGAGTAGCTGCAGACAAGCGTAAAATAATCTATTAATAGTATTTTAAACTAAAAAGATTAAATGATTGTGTACAACACGCCGACAGTCAGGTTAATACGCTGTCCCAACTACAGGCAGCGAAATAGATATATCCGAACAACACCTGAAGGCCACGTTGCACAACAGAAGTTTTTCAGATTTTTTTTTTTCTTTTTTCCAAAACTACTTTGAAGCTAGGAATGTGGTTTTGGGAGGCGACATTTAGGAATAATAAATGAAAAAATACTTAAACTAAGAAGTTACTAAGAAACTCAAAACAAAAATGTTTCCCGCTATTCTATTTAGGCTAGGTTTATATATTTTAAAGTATTGACCCATTTTAGTTATGGATAGAAGTTAAAAATATTTAATGAGTTCCCGTTTTTTTTAAGCAAGTGCATCACTTTTATACAGCGAGTCAATATTTACATTGCTGCTTCCTCTTCATTACTTCTGCAAATTAGCTTGAGAAATCAAAGATCCCGGGTGAGGTTAAGATCTGGACAGTTGTACTGGTATGTCAAAGGCGAATAATTCACATTATATACTGAGCCGAGCCATGCCATTTCATTTGACTTTTGAATAGTGCTCAAACTGGCAAACAAGATTGTCACCAGTTTGTTTTCAGACTCCCCGAATAAGTTTGGATTCTGAAAAACACAATTTTTCCCATATCCCAAAACATTTAAGACAATTAACCATAGAATTATATTGAAATAACTTTAAAATAGCAAAATTACAGTCTGACCTTTGAGCTTTTCTAGAACAGAAATGTCTCTCTTGCAAATTTTAAGCTGATGTGAATGACCTCTTATGTGATGCCTTTTTTCTTGCAGGCTACATGCTTGTCTTTGCCAATAACCATTGAGAACTGAAGAAGCACACGTTTAAATGGAGGTATAAAAGTGCTGCTGTTCATTAAATGAACCATTACTTATCATATACTACTTAACTAAATTCATAAAAATTTAAAGTCATGTAATTTCAAATAATATATCAAATGAGCAACTAATTAAATGAATTTTAAAGTTGGGTGTTTATTGAAATCCACTATTTTTCCCCTCTCTTCTCATAAAAGCAATCTGACTGGATGTTGATATCAGAAAAAATATGATGATACTAAAAACTGTGAAGACAATATTAATAATATTTGAGTCACATTTTCTAATTCTTTCTTAACTGTTAAACAACCCCACAGTTATTTAGCTGTTTAAACATGCAATGTAAAACTCAGTGTCACCCCCTAGTGGACAGTATTAGAACTTCAACACAAAAGGGCAAACAAGACTCCGCATCTTGCAACGCCACCAGCAAGACTTTCTTTAATGGTGAGGCTCAAAGTGAACCGTGACACAGCCACCATTACTTTGAGTGAATAAAATAAAACATGGCAGAACAATAAAAAGATAAAACAAAGCACTTTTTTTAAACCTTTTCACTTCCTTCTACACAAACTTGTAAAAGCAACTCGAGAACTTAAGTTACAATGCAAGAGCGATCCACAAATGATACTATTTTTCTTTAGTTTTTTTTTTTTCTTTTAACATAGGCGACGTGACAGCACAGGATGGTCAAAATGGTTCAGGGGTAACCTTTTTCCCTTTTACACAAAAATATTCACAGAATTCTTCCTGGTCTAAAAAAAAATAAAGGAAATAAAACAGTGTATGATGGGAAATATCAAAACAAGTGCCTGTCATTAAAAAAAAATCTAAAGAAAAATTAATAAATAAAATGTGAATTAACACAATGTGTCCAACTGACCATCTGCTGCTTCACTGTGATCAGCCCAGAACCATGTAAACACAACACCATCCAAATATGTTCTAATGACATAAAAAAGAACAGCACGCTGCTGCCAACATTATGCTAGCTACATCAATCAAAGTACGGATGGGAACCGAACATCAACACTTGGCACTTAAGAACGAAAATTAAATAAGCAAAAGGAAAAAAAAAAAAAAAAAAAAAAAACATTCCCCAGTAAGTTCAATGTACATTGTTGTAAACAAGATGCCGGCTTGAGGGCATGATAAGAGACAATCAGTTTGGGTTGGCGTTTGGCATATTAAGCCCACGTCCAGTATTTTTTTTTTCCCTTCAAGTCTGCTAAACTGCTGTCATCTAGCTGCAATGATCATACGTTTTTTTTTTCTTCCTTTGAATACTGACTTCTTGAAAATGCTCTTTTTTAAGCACTCAAATAAAATCTAGACATGTCGGAGTCGGAGAGAAAGAGACAGAAGTGCGACTTCAAAGTGAGATGCTAATATCCCAGGATCGCTAAGCAAGTGGTTTCCGCAAGGCACTGATACGTCTGCAAATTATGGTAACCGAGCAGTTACCTCGACATCATTGAATCCGGTGAGCGACATGGCCTAATGTGTCCTAATTTGGTCCAGAAGTAAGAGGGAACAGTGTTCGTGGCGAGGCGAGGGAACCTTAACGTCAACGTTTTTGGCAGTGCCTAGGCCTAATCGAGCAGTTGTCTTCTGAAGGGGCGACGCAAGCTACGTCTAATTCTTCCACTTGCTGATTATCCTGGAGAAGCCAATATTCCAGTACAGAGGAGACAATACCGCATCTAGAGAGCGACAGAATTCAATAGCATGGTTTCAGATATACGCACATTGTCGAACTGAACCGAAGTATCACGAAACAATCACGGATTTAAGTTAAACGCAGATATATCCAAACATGAACTGTTTTACATTCATGTACCTCTCGAGGGGCTTTTACTTTATTTTACTTTACAGGAGAGCCTCGGACGAACCAAACTAAAAAACATGCCTTCCGTCTCTTTTAAGCCATTGTTTAAAAACCCCAAAGGAGTTTGATGCTGTTCAATTAGACACCTGGTTGTGAAGAAAAATGGAAAGGGGAACTGACATGAAGCGATGTGCGATGGCTCACCTGTAGACATTTGGCCGACAAATTGTATGCAACCCCTTCAAAATAAAGAGTTCTCGTAATAAAACCAAACCCTCCTTTGAGCAAAGTAGAGAAAAATCTTTAGAAGAAAATGGAGGGACTTGGTGTGTCTGCATGTGCTAAGTGCAAAATCTTGTCAAGAGGGTTTCGGGGGGGCAGGGGCGCTGGTAAAGGCTGGTAAACTTTAAAAGAACCCAAACCAGTAGAGACGGTAAAACGAGGAAAAAGGGAAACCTTCTGTCTGACGAAAAAAAAAAAGAAAAACGAAGAGTCACTTTTTCATTGGCTGGTAGACTGAGGCGTTGGGGTCCAGGGAGGAGGGACTATTGTCCATGAACTTGGAGGAGTAGTGCGGGGTGACTGGGCTCAGGTTGCTGCCGTCTGATGAGTAGGACAGGCTGGGCATCACTGCCATGACTTCTGCTATCTTCTGCTTCAGCTCCATGATCTCCTGCTCCCTCTGGTGGATCTGGCCTGTGTAGCAGGAAACGGATAAAGTTGTTCACAGCTGTTTTTCTATGCAAAACAAAGTCATTATAAAAGGGATTAAAGGTTTACGAGATTAAAATTAGTTCCAATCGATTAACCAATATCGTCCGCTGAGATCTTCTGTGTTGTAGTTTGGCTGCCGTCCAGCAGAGTGCGCCACTGGGTATCCTTAAATTTTATCTTAATTACTGCTCCTTCTTTCAGCAAGTGGCCTCCAGCTAATGATTAATCGATTCCCAAATTAGTTGACGATTATTTAAATTAATCGACTAATCATGATTAATCATTTCAGGCCTAGTTGGAAGTTAGGTTATTTAATCTTATAAACTTGTTCAGTTGTGCCCATTTGCTTAACATCATGACTAAAAGGACACATTTTCTTCACTTATTTGTTGGGGTACCTTGTGCTATCTCCAGCTGCCTCTTGGCATCGCCCAGAGCAGAGAACAGGTCCAGTTTGATGCGGGTCTCGGCGCTGAGGCTGTTCTCCAGATGCTGGGTCTTCTCCTGCATGGCGGACAGCGCAGACATCAGCACCTCCGTGTCCTTCTCGTTCTCCTTGTACTTGCGCAGCTCCTGGAGTGCGACAGGGAAATGGGACATGAAGGCGACGTTCACTGTGCACATTTTACGGTTCTGATTTACAAAACAAAAGCGTCTGATGCTAGATACAGACGTATTTTTACAGCAAACAGTCTCACCTGACACTTTCCCTCCAGATCCCTAATCTGCTCCTCCTTGAGCTTCATGTCCATGCTGAGCTTCTTGCATTCCGTCTCCAGCTCTCTGATACGTCCTCGGAGAGAATCGGTGGACTCCACTCTGATGGACAGATGAGGATGATGTTATTTTAAAGATCTGAAACAGCTGTTTCTGTGAACAAAAAAAGAAACAAAAAGAGGTACCTGGTAGCGGCAGCTAAAGCTACCGCTCTGGCCGCGGTGGCCTCCTCCATCTTCTTCCTCTTTCTCTCCTCGGCCAGCTGTTTCTCAGCCGCAGCTCGGGCCTCCTGCTCAGCCTTCAGCCTCTTCTCCAGCTGGGATATGGTCTGCTTGTCCTTCTGCTTGGCCTGGACGGCACTGTGGAGCCTGCAGGGCAGGGAGGCATCGTCAACCTGACTGCCTCTGCATCGTTTCTAACTTACTGTGCCTTGTAGTGCTTCATACTTCCTGAAATTGTTCACATTTTGTCAAATTGCAATTATGGAGAGTTGGGGCCACGCAACAAAAACACACAAAAAAAATTAATAAAATTGCATAAATGAAGTCATAGAATTACAGAAATAAGGTTGTAGTATTACAATATTTTGCATACTACTCATCATCATGAGTACAGTGATTGGACTCATCGTGACGAGTCCAATCACTGCATGAAGGTCAAAAAGCTCATAGTATTGCAAAAATAGTCAAAATGTTATGAGAATAAAGTCATAAAATGTAGAAGATACTGCAACTTGTGGTGTAAACTGTAAAATTGCACCAGATTGTTAAGACGTTAACAATCGGATGGAACTACAACACAAACACCAACTTCTGTGGGTGAAGTTCTTCCTCCTCACTTGTTCTGCAGCAGCTCGTTGTCCTGTCGCAGCTGGCCCAGTTCGGAGCGGAGGCTGCGGTCCTGGCTGCTCAGCGAGGAGAGCTGGCTGCGCAGCTCCGACTCCAGCTGCCGGTTGGCCTGCAGGTCTGCCTTCAGGCGCTTCACGTCCTGCTCCAGCCTTGGAGAACACAGAACTTCATTAACAGACAAGGTTTTCATCCCACAAACTCCGCCACTGACTTGGTTATTTAAGTGGAGAATGTGAGAGTTTGAATTCGTTTTAACGTGGCGAGAGCGAGTCTTACCGGACTAGAGTGTCTGGTTTCCCCAGCTGGTTATTAGGGATGCAGTTCTCCACCGGGTCCCTCTGGCCTTTGCCTGACCCCTTCTGCTTCTTCTCGTTCTTGCCGGCCGAGGAGCCCGACGGAAGGCTGCCGTTCGTGGAGCTGTGGTTCCGCGGGGACGAGTTGGTGCCGGGGTTTTTGTAGTTCTTCCCCGTTCCCCCCATTTCCTCTTTCGCCGACATGTGCGCGCTCCCGTCGGTGAGCGCGTTCTCCCCCGCCAGGTCGTTGTTCAGTCTCTTTGTCCCGACGTAGTTCTCGATAAATTCTGCCTCCTGCAGTTTGGAGTCCAGTGCGTGTATAATACTGTTGTTATTGATTCCCACCGTGTTCTGCTTTTTGCCCTCTCGCTCTTTCGCCGTACTGTCCTTCCCTTTCTCGCGGTACTCCAGCTCCGGTAATGTGACTGAGGAGCTTTTCTTCCCGGGCGGCGCTCCGTTTTGGGTAATGACTGTGGGTTCTACCTCGGAGATCCCCTTGGCTAAGGCAGCTGGGTGAGAACGAGCACATGGTGAGTTAACAGGCTAGACATAAACATTACTAAGGAGATTTAACTGGCGAACAACTTGAAACATATTTGACCACAAACAGCAGCTAAATCATGACCTTGATTGGTTGATACAACAACAGAAAAGTCCTTACTTCCATTGGTTAACATTTCTATTAAAGGGAAGAAAGTATTGAACAAGATTCAACTTAAAGTTTAGTCATTAAATAGCCAAATGAACAGGACAATTTGAAAACTGCCAAACCTAACTCTACATAACTGTTTTTTGAATAAAGATGTTAGTCATGACTTCTGGTTATGGTGGCCATGTGAGAGGATGTGTTTTCACCGCTCTGCTGTTCCTGTCAAAGAATTTCCCTAAAATCCCTTCCTTTCAAAACGAGCTAAATGGCTAGTGAGCCCGGGTGGTCGGAATAATGCCTAACGCAGCAAAAGCGTCCCAAGAAGTGAGTGAGAAAGCAAAATAGCATAAGCTAATGGATTGCCATCTTCGTGGCAAAATCCAGAAAGCTAATGCTAGCCCATGCTCAACTTCAATGGCTGCCGCAGACAGAGAGGAGAACCCGAAGTCTCAAAGCAGCAAGGTGGACAAAATACTGTGTTAATTCGATCCAGAAGGATTTCTGCTCTAGATTTGATGAAGTCCTGGGCTCCATCAACAGTGTGAAAAAAAGAGATAAATGACTGTATCCAGCGAATTGCAGAAACCAAAGCACGCATTTCTGATGCATAGAGTAAGACAGAAACACTGCGAGCTAAAGTGGATATGCTAGAGTCCAAGAAGAAAGACGTGGAAGACAAAAGTTATGGATCTGGAGGCAAGGTCAAGACAAAACCTGAGGCTGGTCAACCTGCCAGAAGAAGGAGGACAGAATCCGTGTGAGTTCCTGGAGAAGTGGCTGCTGGAGACCCTTGGTGTCGGACCGGTGGCCGTAGAAAGAGAGCATCAATTTGGACCCCAGAGGGACACAGCACCGCAGCGCCTCACACTTTGATAATGAGATTTCTCAGCTACAAGGATAAACAGCTTATTGCTGTAGCATTAAGGGCTAACACTGACAATCGCTACCAGAATCAACAAGTACGGTTCTACCCAGATACCGCGGCGGGTCTGCTCCAGCTTCGGAAGCAGTTTGACCCGATACGCACGGAGCTGCGCAAACTGGGATTGGGCCACGAGGTGGTTCACCCAGCCAAGCTGCTGGTGACTCATCAGGACCAAACTCGTGCTTTCAAAACAGCGGCGGCTGCACGCGAGTTTCTAAAGAAGATCCAGAAGAAAACAGACGAGGACGCCCATACAGTTTCTTAAATTAACAATTTGTGACGTCGTAAAACCTTGATGGCTCCTTTATTGGACTGTGTTCTACCGATATTGAAACAGACTTGCGGTGGGAGTTCAGGTTTTGTTCTGTTGTTTAAGCTTCTCAGATGTTCATGTTCTCACGGGGTAAACTTTTTTTTTTTCCCCTCCATTTCTGGTCATTTAGTTAGTTTTACATGTCGCAAGCTTTAAATCTTAAAATGGTTACATGGAACTGCAGGAACCTACAACAACACTTAAAGAAGGTTAAACAAGTCATTCATAAACTGCATGATTTGGATTCCAAAATAGTATTTCTATAGGAGACGCATCTGATGGGAAGAGGACGAAGGGCGGGTCAGGAGGAGGTGGTGGGGTAGTGTATTTACTTTGGCATTTTCTTCTCAAGCAAGAGGAGTTATGACTTGTCCATGAATCGGTCCCATTTCTTGTAAACGATGTTATCAAGGATAAGAAGGGTAAATATTTGATAGTTCGGGATTCTTTCCTATCGGAAAAAATTAACCTGGTTAACGTCTACGGTCCTAACACAAATGATTCAGGGTTTTTTCAGGACTTGTTCCTCTCACTTTCATGGCTGCAGGGGTGATTGCAGGGGATTTTAATTGTACCCTTATTCCAGAAATGGATTAGATCCACTGGATCAGATGTAACACATAACAGTAGAACAACTATACAGATGTTTATGAAAGTTCTTAGACTGGTAGACATCTTTAGGGAACTCCATCAACAAACCTGAGCCTACTATTCAGCAACATTTCAGACTTGCTCATGAATAGATTCTTTTTTTAAATTTCATCAGAACTAATATCCAAAATTGTATGTATGATAGCATAGTGATCTGAGATCACGCTCTGCGCTTTCTTAGCTACTGTGATGAGAATCTAACCGTTTTCATCATAAATGGCTGCAGGATCAGGATTTTGTTAAATATACTGAGCTACAAATTCAGGGTTTCCCCCAGTGTATTATAAGCCTGATGGGCTGCCATACTTTACGAGGCTCCCTGCCAGACTAAGCGTTGCTTGTTTTTATTTTTAGAAAAATTAATAATTGGTAAAAAAAAATTTTTTTTAAATAAATCTTTAAGCCGGATTGTAAGCGTCTCTGTTGTTCTGAGCGTTTCATTCGTGGAGCAGATTTCTTTCTAAAAGGTTTATAGTTTATGCATTTAAAGCCGGAGAGCGGACCAATCACACAGCTGGCGCCTCTGCTCGCACGTTACCTCTGCTTTATTAAGTTTACATCAGTGTGGATCGTGCCTTCTTCCACTCAAAATGGACACAGGCTGACCTGTATGGATATTTACATCAACCTCCTGTGAGGAATTATTTTTCTTTGGAGGACTCTATATCAAGGTAAGAGTTTAAAATGAACCACATTAGCTCTGGTTGCATAGTTACGCTTCACCTTGTTTTATATTATTTTATTATTAATTTTAGTATTATTTTTCCAGTTAAGCAGTGCACCAAACCATATCAAACACTTTGTCCACTTAGTCAGCCAGAGTTGATGCACACAGCCATGCCGAGATCTGAAAATCTCGTCCCACAAACTTGAGCAGCCAGAACCGTTTTAGTGCATTAAAAACTCAAAAGATATGAAATGGAAGAGCTACTAAAGCCACATTAGCAGCATTTAATCAAATCTCCCATTTGTTGCTCATCTCTGCGCAGTGCAGCGGATTTAACTCATCATTCAGGGCCGGTCCAAGGCTGTATGAGGCCTGGAGCAGAATTTGACTTAGGGCCCCTCTTGCTGCTAAAAACATCAGTACCTCTAACAAATTGTTTACCAATTCGTATTTGTAAACAAACAGCGTTGAAACAGAAGTGCAAATAATTGATATTCATTTTAATTGTATTTTTTGATTAGTTATTTAAGACTAGTTGTGGGTTTAGATAGCATTTTACTGGAGATGTTTTCCCATAACATTTAAATTGCCAAGTAATATTTTAACTTTATCTGTCTATTTAGCATCTTTAATACAAAAACACATGGACTGCCGGTGGGCCGCCTTGGCGCCCCGACGACCAGGCTTAGCGAGTTTTCAGGGGAAAACCCTGAAATTGATGAGTTCTTTCAGCTGAATACAAATGCACCAGATGGGATGCCTTTAAATCATTTATTAGGACATATTAGTAGCTTCATAGGCTACAGTCCAAGGAAGCCAAGACTAGAAGGCAGCATCTAGAAAATAAAATAGGAGAGGGTTTTTCAAACAAATGATACTGAGCTGGAACAACGACTGTTGCTCCTAAGAGCAGAAGATGATAAACAGTCCAGTTTCAGAGCTGCATCCAGTCTCTTAAGACTAAAACAAAACTTTTACGAACAGGGGGACAAAGCTGGAGAATGTCTAGGTTGGCAAATCAAACGGCTTGAAGCAACAACCTTGACCACATCAATTGTAACTCAGGATAAAACTAATAGATCCAAGGGATATTAATAATGCTTTTAAAGATTATTATCAGAAATTAAACGATACTCAAGGAAATTTAAACCAAATGGAATTGGATAAGTTTTTGAATGGGCTGCATATCCCTGTCATTGCAGGTGATTGTAGAGTTGACTTAAATATAGAAATAAATAAAGAGGAATTAGCACAGGCCACTGATGGGATGAGATCTGGTAAGCAAGCAGGACCTGATGGAATCCCTATTGACCTTTATAAAAAATTTAAGGATAAATTGCTGTCAGCCTTTCTTGATATGTTTATGTAGTCATTTAAAAAAAGGCAGCCTGCCTCCCTCTCTAACTGGCCACTTTTATGAACATTAATTTGTTCTTTAGTAGATCATTCCGCTGCAGAAAAACCTGTTGTTTTGATTCATGCAAGGCAGTGTAGACTAACCTTCCTCTGCTTCTCGCTCCTGCCTCTGCAGCATCTGTTGCTCCGGCGGTAGAGCCTGCTGTAGGAGCTGCATGTAGAACTCGTTTTCCTTCTGCACCTCCTTCTGTTTCCTCAGGCGCATCTTATAGCTAACGTAGCTCTTGAAGCCGAAGCCCAGGGTCACCACTGGATAGCCGATACTAGGAGGAATAATTACGAGACGGCCTTTTGGTTCCACAGACACCAAAGCAAGGGGGAGGGAATACTTTTGCACGCCAATATGTGCTTATGGAAGTTGCTTTGACTGAATGATACTTACCAGTGAGCAGCGAAGGGTCGACAGAGATCCACGTGAAAATTTTTCAGATCTTTGAACCGTATGGCAGCTTCGATGTACACGAACAGAATCCAGAGCGAAACGGTGGGTAGACAGACTCCTCTCTCTGGATGAAAGAGAGCGACGTTAAAGCGGCCACCTAGCAGCCACTTCACAAATGAGGAAAACAAGAAAACGCGAAACCGACAAACATTTCTTTTGGCTAACCTGTGTGCCACACATACTGGACCCATACGTAGGTGCTGGCTGCAAAAAACAACCACTGGACGGGGATGAAGAGGAGGCATATGATGTCCGATGTAAACGCCACACAGACGAAGAAAACGGAAAATGCCTAAATGGAGGGGGTGGAGGGGAAGACAAAATTAGATATTAGTACATTTTCCAAGTCCAAATTCCATACTTTTACCGAGCTCCTAATCTTAAATTGATACCAAACATGACTAAGACTTTACTGGAGGCATTTCTATGTTGGAAAAGTTTTAAATACCTACAAAAACCAAACTGTGAGGGGATGGATGGAAAGGCAGCTACTAATTCACATATTCTTCCACACTTATTCTGACCTGCACAATACTTGACCGTATTCCACACTTCCCGTAGGAACTCTATGCAAAGAGGGAACACAGACAGGCTCTTACCAGACCCTGATATCTGAAGGAGTCGTAGACGCTTCGGATGAAAAGCCAGAAAGGCCACAGGTACTCGAACCTGAACTCCAGCACAAAGTCAGCCAGCAGAACCAACACCCACACCACCAGGAACTTCAGGTACAGGAACGTGCTGCAGGAACGAGGCAACGAGTTAAAGGGGAGGCAAGGAAGCTAGGCGTCTTACGGATATAGAGCCTAGCAACGATTATTTGTTCTGCTTGAACTTTTCCACACTAGTTAACCTTATGCACATGTATTTTAGCTTGACTTTAGTCGCTAGACCAACACCGACTACTTACCATTTATATTGTTGTAATTTTCAAAACAAATAAATAGATAAATCCATATTTAAATGACATTTACATTCATTAAAAATGTAGTATTTAATAAGTAGGTGTCTTCTGAAGGCACTGACTTCTATTTCATAGGGGTTTAATATACAGGCATATCACAATTTTCAGGTTTATTCGTAAAAGGATTTGAATGCCACATGTTGTGTCCATCGCATCCAATAAAATACACCAACTTTTGTGTTTGTGACACGACTAAATATGTAATAATTCCAGGGGCACCAGCAAACACTCAAGACGGTTGGATGATAATCGCCTGAAAATCACATTTATACATTTTACTACTGATCTGTGTCGAAAAATCTACATTCCCAAAGCAAATTTAAAGTCATTTCTCAATTTGAACTCAGACAAAACACAGGATAGGCCCTGAAGAAGCTGACTGAAACCCACTGTATGGTTTAAGCTCTCCATATGAGTGTGGGTCATGTCTGGACATGCTGGCCAGCACAGCTGCTTTCCATTTCGTGTGAATTGCTACCAATCAACCAAAGGGGCTGGTCGGCTGTTTGTGTTGCAACAAGTTAAATTAAATCGGCTGTAAATAAAACATTGTTTCATTCATGCATTTAAATTGAGCCGTCCCCCCCCTCTGCCAGACAAAGCACATGTGATTTCAAAACGAGCGCTTCCGTCATTATAGCTTTTCTCACAAAGTTCCAGAGCATTTTTCTATTTTAACCGGACACATTTCCTCGGGGTGTAATTTATTATTAATGGCGCTGGTGGAGTTATTCAAGCACTAATTCAAATTTGAGCAGAAATCTTTTTTTTTTTTTTTTTTAAAGGCTTACACCGTGTCTACATGCCAGCTTATAAAACCGTTAACCCGGGCCTGATACTGTGAAAAATACACAAGCACGTCCATTCAGTTCATATTGCAGCTGAAACGCTGAAATACGAACGCAACAGAGGCTGTCAGTGGCGTCCTGACACATACAGAGCGACGCCATTGTTATACAATAAGGTCCCTCTAGCCCCCCTTTTTTTTGTACCTGCTATATATACCCTCGGTGATTCGGTTCCGTTTTAACGGCCGTCGGAGTTTGCTGCAGTCCGCATTGCGCCGCTTCATCCTCCCCCTGTTGATTCTCTGTTGATATCGCTCTGGTAACTGGAACTGGAAACGTCACCCGCTCATCCTAATATGCCCACTTGTTCCAATTACCCACCATTGTAGCTGTTTTATGCTCATGAAACAAAGAAATAAATAAAAACAGTCCGCCGAAGGCCCTCCCCCTTTCACGACACGCTGCGTTGCTCGCGTCTTGACGTATCGCGGCGGCGACGTCGAAGACGTAGGAAACATGGCCGCTCCCTGCTAGTCGAAGTGTTTCCCTGAATTTTTATCTTTTTATGCAAAACATTCATTTCTGAACGGTAAGTCTCATGAGATCGTACGCTAGTTTCCGTTTGGGTTTGGTTTATTCACCGTAAAGACGCTTAGAAAAAGTCAAAGTAGACGCCAGTATGCGCACTATTTCTTCTCACATGCTGTCTTAACCACGTTTGGTTTGGTTTTTGGTATTTCGCTTAGCCCTTTTCCTTCAATCCACAACGTTTCCTGTTTCAGACATTATATTACTTAGCTTAATAAGAGAAGCCGTAGGTGTAAGCAAACTAAAGCACATTTGTGGATCTTTCAACTTTAAATCTCTGGGTGATTGAAACTGCAGTGAAGCTCACTGTGTCAAATATGGCTGACAGGTGAAGCTTTTTATTAAAGCTGTAAAGTTTTTACCCAATTGAAAAAAAAAAGTTTATTTCTCGAATATTTTAAAGCTCAGCAGTGCCACCTGTTGATCTAAAAATGAAAGGCAGAAAATTATGCAATGTGTGTAATATTTTAGATATTTATTTGTAATCCAAAGTTTGTATCTTTCATTTTACTAAATTTTACTTTTAAAAGGAAGCTACGTGCTCATGCAGCTGGGCAATAGGTGTGCTATTAAAATTCTTAAAAGCTGCATTTAAAAACAAACTATTTAAATTAACAGGGCATAAAAACAGAAGAATCAAATTATGTCAAGGTTGTGTATGTTGGCTTGAAATGAAGATAGTTTCAAAGATTTTCAAAGCTGAAGGTCTTGGAGAGATGCTTCACTATTTGACCTTAAACATATAACAAACAGGTGTTTAAACATCCCAACAACTGGCTCACATTTTTAGAAATTATAAACCTTTAGTAAGCTCATGTTACTGGTGAATAATCTACTTTTTTCAGTGTTTAGAATAAATTGCAGGTACATTTACCTGCAACTGTCTTTCATCCAGCATAAAAATGTCGCGTCTAAATTTTTCCTGCTGTAAAATTGTGTGTAATTTTGACTTTTACACATTTAACTAAACGTCAAAGGGATTCCCATGCTAAAATGTGTGTTTTTTTCAATTGTTTGTTTTTAAGCTGTTAAATAGCAATTAGCTCTGTGTTTCGACAGATGATTAACACCGAGCAAACGTTCCCACCTGTTGAAGAGCAAGAACAGGACGAGATGGAAGAAGAAGACGAGGAGGACGACGAAGAGGAAGAAGCCACAAGTTCAGATAATAATAATGATGATGAGGAACAGGAAGCAGGAGGTGGAAAGGAAGCAGAACCGTCATCTGCTGCGGAGGAAAAGAAGCCCTCTGATGTCCTGAATCTAAACAACGAGGTGGTGAAGATGAGGAAGGAGGTGAAGAGGGTGAAGGCCCTGATCATCAGAAAGCTCACTCGTCAGATTGTCGCCTTGAAGAAGAAGAAGGGAAAGGAGGCAGAAATGGAGAGGAATCAGAGGAGAGCTGAGAGGCTGCTGGAGGAGGTCCACAGCATGAAGAAGCTCTCTCCAGACGAGGTACGGCCGTCCCGCTCTTTCTCTGAAACCTCAAATGTTCTGTCTGCTTGATTCCACAGTCGGGTTAGCATTTAGCCTCATTGTTAGTCCTTTGCTGTTTCCAGCTTTCTTCCAGCATGTTAGTCCCATCTAACTATAGCAACTTTTACACCTGTCCTAGTAAAATCCAAGCAAAATGTATTTCTATAGCAAAACAAAAAATGAGGTGTGAATACTTTTGGTAAGCAAATCATAAATTTTGCAGCTCTAAGCGGAAGCGCTTTAACTTTTTTATTTTTGCCGACAACTACAGGTGACCAGGACGGCCTTGCAAAAGAACCTCAACTTTGAGCGTGTTTGCAAAAACCCCAATTCAACCATGTTAGATAGAGCCACAGCACGCATCGCCAGCCACCCTCAGTTCAGGAAGAAGATCGAGAGCATCAGAGCCGCCGTCAAAGACTTCAGAGAGGAGCGCACGAAGGCCAGGAAACAGCAGGAGCACCCGAAAGGTCAGAGACAACCAGAAAAAGCCACCCAGCTTTCACCAGACACAAGACAGGACAGGAAAAATGAGGATAAAGACAAAGACAATCCTTTGAACCAACAAGTGGAAGACATTAAGGAAGGAGCAGATGTCCTTAAAGGTGCTAAAAAATCTGTTGTACAATCACCTGCTACCTCTGATGTTCACAAGCAAGAGAAGCCAGAGTCTACCAGTGCTAAAGCTACTGTAGTTAAAAGCAGCACGAAGCCTAAGCCTCAAATTAAACACGAAGAGAAGAATTCCCGTCTTCAGCCTGTTCCTGATTTAGCTCTCAAAAGAGCAGATGAAGAAGAGAGCGACGTCGAGTCGTCGGACGATGAAGAGAAAGAGTACTTCGACGACAGCACAGAGGAGCGTTTCTACAAGCAGTCCTCCGCGTCAGAGGAGAGCGATGAAGACGACTTCTTCATAGGGAAAGTTAGCAAATTCAAGAAGAAGAAGAAAAAAGAGACGAGCGGCGAAGCGGAGGTGGATGAAGAAGGGGAAGGGAAAAAAGATCCGGGCGACCCAAAAACCGACAAACTCCAGAGTCAACTGGACGAGCTGGAGTCCAGGTTGAAGTCCAAACCCTTGACAGTTCAGTCTGTGTTCTGCTCGTCGCTGGCCGGACGTAAGGGCGGACGGGGTGGCGACAAAGGGAAAGGGACGGGTAAATCTGGAGCTCCGGGGAACTCCAAAACCGGCGGAGGTCTAAATGATGGAGACTCTGGCAAATTAAAGTTTGCAAAGCAGGAGAACAGAACTTCAAATTCTGGGGCCAAGTTCGGCAAACGCCCCGAGTCGGACAGAAAAGAATCTGGGTCTGCCAAAATAGGAAGAGGCAAAGATGTCCGAAAGCAGACGGACAACAGGGGGAGAGGCTTCCTTTCCCATCAGCCGTCACAGCCAGCGCTCCATCCATCATGGGAGGCCAGCAAGAAGAGGAAGGAGCAGCAAGGGCAAATCCTGGCATTCCAAGGGAAGAAGATTAAATTTGATGATGATGATGACTGAAGGAATAGTTTTAGAACTGAATAAATTTAGCCTTCAGGAATGTATTTTGGATGTGGTCATCTTCTGTTCCTCATAGATATAAAGTCCATAGACACTTGTCATTTATACAAGCATAGATGCAAGGCGGTGTGTTGTGGCCGTTGTAAACTTCTTTGTCTTTAGTGATAAAACTTAAATATTAAGATGTTTGAGACGTCAGAATATGATGGTTTAGTACTTTTTTTTTATTGAACTACTGTGTTTCAAGGAAAATTTCTATTAAACTTGGATTTTCATGTTTACGGACATGGACACGTCACCTATTTCCCTGTTTACATTTCCATAAAACTGTCATAGTGTTGTGACGCGTTTACTTACACAGCGGAAAACCTTTGACTCAACTAACCATTTCTCGTTTATGCTAGCCCCTGTTATTAGGCAAGTTTAAATCAGTGGCAAATTTTTGAGGTTCTTTTGCCCTTACTGCTCTGTTTTTCTTTAAATATTCTTAGCGGTGTCTCTGAATTTACTTCAGAGTTGGTGTACTTCAGAGTTGGTGTACTTAAATTAGGTGTACTTAAAGTTACACCTAATTGTATAAACTTAATAAAATATTTGATCATTTGAACCTTCATATTCTCTGTGAACTAGAAAATTTATGAGACAATTGCAGAAATGTCTACTGACGCTTTTTTTTGACTCTTCACATGCGCCACCTGCTGGCAGAAGTAATAGCACACCATTAAACGTTCAAATAGGGTTACTCTAAAAAGTTGAAATAATTATTTTGAATATGAAACTAAATATATATTGTTTAAAAAGATAGTTTGAAGAAAAACACGGCTTACGGATAACCATGATATATAAAGATTTATTGTAACATAAATAACTATATGGGTAAGTATATGTTACTCATGAAGAGCAAAATATTTTTCTGATTACAATTCCTATTTTTTTGTTTGTTTGTTTTCCATTTTGAAGAACCCTTTTATGTGTAACACCACATTTTACCTCAGGGAAAACAATTGATGGATTACTAATTGTAGACACTGACTGATTAAATCACTCTCCATACTTTGGGCAAAGGTAAACGTGTTATTGACAGCAGCCTGTTGTCTACATTCACTCTGCATTTGAACAACCTCACGGTTAGTAGATGGGCCTTCCAACGTTTTTTGTTAGCAATATCTTTTTCTAGAAACAGATTTCAAATACTAACTGTGACAATAGAGTTTTCTCATCACGTTGAAGAATCTGAACAAGATGGATTCGAACCTGATTTGTGCTAAAACCCAAGAAGATACTTGTGATTAATTTGAATTACTTTGTTTTGAAATCAGTATTAAATAATTCATCATATACAATTTAAACTCTCCATCAAAAATGATGAGTAGGAAAATAGAAAGGAAACGCACAGTCACTTCAATACTGGGTTTAGTAGTGTGGTGTTAGTTTTGGTAATTACTCTACAAGTTCTTTATAACCTCAAAGAAACTTGGATCTTGGAATGACGTCAAAACCATTTTAATTGTTCAAGTTCCAAATTAAGGATGGACATCCACAGTGATTGGCATTAGTATTTCCTAATAGCAATTAGCCTTAATAACAATGTAATTTTCTTAGCACAACTTTAAAATCTTGTAGGAACGTATTTAGTAAAAGAGGACTGTGTAAGAAAGACTTAAAGAGATATAAATGATCTGAGGTCCACAGGGACATAAGGCAGCCATTTGGATCTTAACACTGCTGGGGTTATTTAGAAAGTTCTGGCTTCAGGGGACATTTCTGTTCATTTCTCCCAACTATAAACTGGAGTATTTCAACTT